AAACATTCCTAAGGTTATACGGCAATAACTGCACAACTTCTATGGTTTATTATGCTCATCTAGCAACATTTGCAACACATAAAACACTATTTCCTACAATTGCTCTGAGTACTTCAGAGTTACTCACATTTGAATATTCCTATTCCTATAGGGTCAAACATATCACAATTTTTCCTTCAATTACACTCTACGACATTAAATTACTCACTATCTAAAATTTAATCCTTCAGGGTCAGATATATAACAATGTCAAGGTTCTGGCCACGAAGGTTCAATTTCCTATAAGTTTTTCCTATATTAATATTCAACGATACATATCATTTGTCCATTTGGTCATAACCTCAAATTCTTACGATTACCTCCCTATTTCCCACAATTAACCCAAATCCCGAAACCTTAGGGAAACCTTAGAGTATCGTACTAATAACGATATAACACATTCATTTCTACATATTTGCCAAATTCCCTAAACCTTACATCACCACAACATACCGAAAGGTATACATAGAAAACTATGAAAAACAATACTCCCCATACAATAATCATTCAAGAACAACAACAATTTTATGGAATTTATCATGCTACGAAAATTAGATCAAGAATCCTCAAGAACACATAATTCCTATGAGAGAAAGGACCTCTCACTACCCTCTCATGTTAATTCACCCATATTGAAATCCATTCTCCCCTCTTATCTCGATTAATTGCTCAATCATTGAAGAATCTTGAAGGATTGACAACCCTAGCCTCCTTCTCTTCCTCCTTGTTCTTCTTCTCACTTTTTTTTTCCTAAAACCTTTCTCTGGCAGTTTATCGTGTTCTAATTCTCTTTCCCCAAAAAACTTCTCTATTTCCTTTAATCCCTTATTTCTTATTTTATTATTTAAATCCTATAATAATAATAATAATACTAATATTATTCTCCCACTAATAATAATATTCATACTAATAGTAATAATATGAATAATAATAATATTCCACCAAATAATATTATTAATACGAATAATAATAATAATAATAATAATAATAATAATAATAATAATAATAATAATAATAATAATAATAATAATAATCTCATTAACATTATTATTAATAATAGTTTGAATAATATTAATCACTATAATGCTCTCGATATCATAATTAACTTACTCCTTTATCTAGGTCCACAGTACCCCAACTAAGGTCACCTCTCTCCCTTACTCCTAACCTCATACCCTTAATTAAGGACACCACACAACTACACATCACAGAAAATACCAAAGCGACTGAATAATTTAAATGGGGTGTTACAATCCTTACCTTAAACCTTATCATTCAAACACTTGTTGTTACAAATTGTATGTCCCTCATTCCAAAGGAAAGTTCCCATGTTGACTTGTTAGTCATATTTTAGTAAAGTTTAGACCACTTCCTACCTACCACGTGACCTTGTTAGGATCATTTTACTTAGCCTTGTTAGAGCCATTTCCCTTTTCAACTTAACTTTAGTTTAGGGTTTGTAAACTCTATGTAAGTACTATTGTTATACGTACCTACTCTTTCCCTCTTGGCCATGTTAGAGCCATTATTTCCTTACAACTTAAAATTAAGTATAGAGTTTGTAAACTCTACGTGGGTACCATTGTAATGTGTATTCGCTTCCCCCTTTGACTTTGCTAAAAGTCAAACCTTAGTTAGTCTTTTAACTTAGACTTAGAGAGTTTGTTAAATCTATGTAAGTATCATGGTTATGAATACTTACTCCCCTTCGAACCTTGACCATTGTCAAGAGTTCATCAACCCTAGTTAGGTGAACTATGAATGCTCCGTTTCCATCATAGTCAGGATACGTAGGCACGAGATGCGACGTCTTGACGAGCATACTTAGTGTATATACTCTAGGTCTTTACCTTAACATAGTTCCCTTAGCAGGTAAACAATAGCATAATACAAATACAAACAAGAGGTTCCTGTAGAATACTACATATACTTAGGATGCTAACACCTTCCCTAGGTATAACCAACCCCCGAACCTTAGATCTCTATCTTTGTTGTTAGATAGCACACTTACGGTTTTCTTCGATCTTTACCCTTTCCTTTGGATAAATTAAAGCTCGGTGGTGAATTGCATGATTTGCGATTCAAAGTTAATCAATAGCTTGATATTTGATTCTCACCGCAACAGAATGACGATTTCACTAGGGACTATTTCCTTTAAGAGGGTTAAGCCCACCTTGTTTGTATTTGTGTTATTTATATGTTTTGCTTGCTTGTATACTCATATATTTGTAAATATTTGTGTATGTATGTGTGTGTGTGTGTGTATGTTGTGCTTGGGTTCTTCTGTATGCAGGGTGGTTACTTTGAAGAACGAAAACAAACATAAAAGCACATACATATTTTGCAACAAAAAAAAATCGCACAAAATAATCCCATTGGGTGTGCCAACTTCTTTACTGGTGTTTATGGTAAACAAATCACAAGTTTTAATTCACTTAAAGGATTAAACTCGAAAAAATCCTAAAGACATTTTGCGTGAAATGTTTGAGAAAGTGTGACAGTGCTGTTAGGTTTTATGTTTGAATTTAGAACAATTGGATAAAAGTTCAAAGAAGTAAATGTATAAGTACTTAAAAGGGATAAAATAGATGAAGAAAAGTAGCATAACAACTAGATAAAATTATTTAATTAAGAAAGAGATGCAAGTTAATACATTTCTCAGAAATTCTTTATCTTTATGACTCAGATGTGTGAATTTTATAGAAAATATAATGAAATGCGAACCTTCACTACAACATCAAAATCTACTTATATACTAAGTACATTAATAACTGTCAACAACAACTAACTCTATGGAATTTGACACGTATCTTGCAACGTGGGCTTTTGTTTTCTGATGTATTTCCACGTGTCTTTGATTCTTGAACTGCGATAAACCGTTACGGTTGTCAAAAGCGTCTTTAAAATACCTAATCATATATGTCGAAAAGGTCCACTTGTCCAAAACGTCTTCGAGTTTCTACTTATCGAATTTGCAACTTGGGGTTGATAATATGATTTAGCTACCTACCCTTAGTATTTCACATCCACCTAGTTTCTCACATTCATATATCCCCAATTAAATTAAGCAAACAGATTCCCATATTCCCCAATTAAATTAAACAAACATATTCCTATATGTGATGATGTCAGTTAAATTTTTATTGATTGAGATTAAAAACTTCAATGAAACTTCAAATTTCAATAATTAAACCTAATTTAAATAACAACAAAACAAATTGACAGGTGAGCAAACATCTGCTGCATCGTTCGGTATACCCGTCGCATCGTTCTCTCCCACCGTCGCATCACTCTGTATCTTCCCTCTTCATTTTGTCTCGTCATAAAAATGGGTTGTGTCGGCGTAACAGAGTAGTAGTAAAACATACAAAGAGTCAGCAACAACAAGTAAAACACATAAAAACAAAGATGAAGAAGATGAACAAGTAAGAGAATGTTGGGGTCAATTCAGGGGGTCAACACGAGGGATCATTTTTACACTTTAGAGCTTTTCTTTAAGAGTAACACACATTTGTGAGAGACACACTAGATACTCACCGAAAACCTTAAGGTGATAGGTGTGTAGATACTCCCACTTATAAAAGCTTAAGTCTCCATATTTCCAACCAACGTGAGACTCCCTCAGATCACTCACACTTATTATTCTTAACACTCCTCCTCAAATATGAGTCTATCCACAATGCCCTCCTTAAGTGGAAGCTTCCTTTATTCATATACACTTTTACCACCATGGACACTTTTCAACGGGATATCTCCTACGAGAATTTTGATACAAGTAAGCCGATGTCTTCACTCGAACCAAAGACTCATGATACCACTATTGGGGTCAATTCGAGGGTTTACATGAGAGAGCATTTTTACACTTTGAGGATTTTCTTTAAGAGTAACACACTTTTACGAGCCACACACCACGTATTTACCTAAAACCTTAAGGTGATAGGTGTGTGAGTTTTCTCACTTTTAAATACTCAAATCTCCACATTTCTAACCAATTTGAGAGTTTCCATTATACTCACATTTGTTATTCTTAATAGAAAAAAAGAAAAGAGGAATAATATTCTGTTTATTTTGCCAAAACTAAAACACATATTTAAAGCTTTTTGTATCATAAATCAAGTAAAAAAAAGCACAAATCTAACCCAGAACAGAAACACATATCTAAAGCTCCTTGTATCCCAAACCCAAAGCTCCTTGTATCCCAAACCCAAAACAAAAACACAAATCTAAAATTCCTTATATGAGAGAAGTCATGGAAAGTATATGAGAAGTAAAAGTCATGGAAAGTATATGAGAAGTAAATAGATCTGAATAGAAAAGGAGATACAAAGATTTAGAAAATTGATATTTCTAATTAACTATATTATTATTAATATTAATATTAGTAAAATATTTTTTTTAAATATTATTAACTTAAATATAAACTTAAAAAATAAAATTAAATTCCATAAATGTGGCACAACACGTCATCAGATTTAATGCCATGTCAGTAAAAATTGTTTTCCAATTGGGAGAACTAAAATTCTCAAAAAATACCTTAAAAAATGACTATAAATCTAGATTTTAAAATAGAAAAAACAAAAAGTTAAATAGAAGGATAGTTATAATTAAACCAATAAAAAAAATCAGGAGCAGCATGCCGCACTAAAAGAATTAAAAGCGGCAAAAATAAAAAAAAAATTGAAAACGGCGAGTCTTTCACCCATCCTGCCAAAACGCACGGCGCTTTCCTGTCTTCTTTTCTGTGCTAGTGGACTCTCTCTTTCACTGCGGCGGACACAGAAATTGATATCAGAATCAGGTAACTGCCCATGATCCCAATGCATTAATCCTATAGGACGGGTTTCATCTATCTTTTCCTTTTGACCATTTTTCCATTTCTGCCTATGAAGTGTTCGATAAATTGTCTGAAGTTCTTTTTTTTTTCTTTCAGTTTTTGTTTTGCAGGGTAAATAGTTTCGAAAATGCCGACTCTTCAAACTTCACTGCCTCCTGAGCTCGCTAACAATGCCATTAGGGTAAATATAAAACACCTTTCCGTTCTTAAGTTTGAAAATAATAAAAAAAAAAAAGAAAACTTTTTTAATATTTTGGTATGTTTTATTTTAGCTTTACCGTGAATGTCTACGAAGAGCTAAATATATTGGTCACCGGGTAAGTGGTTCTTTCTTGTGTCACTCTCTTTTAGCTTCAATGGGTGCTTGTTGCTGCCACAATAATTTAAACACAGATGTGATTGTTGTTATCTCTTTGTCACACACTAAAAAATTACAATATAGGTTAATAACTTTGCATTGATTAGGTTTCTTGTTTGCCATAGTGAATTTGTTTGGCATTAAGTTTTGTTTACAATTGGTGTATGTTCTAAAGACATGTAGTTGAAATCCATGTTCTTACATTTAGATGTTGAGATTTAGCTAGCATGGTGGACATACTCGGTTGGAATTTCCACCTTCATTGCGGTCCGCCTCTAGTCACCTAAATTGTGGCATTTGCTTGCCTTCATTGCGGTCCACCTCTAGTCACCTATATTGCGGCATTTGCTTACCTTCATTGCAACTTCCAACACTTTCATTGTGTTGGGTTTGAAAGGGTGTATTTAGTCCCACATTATTTACAGATACGGCCTGTGTTGTGTTTCTAAGGGGAGGCAATCTTCACCTTACAAGCTGGTTTTGTAAGGCTGAGTTAGGTCCAACCACACATTTATCAGAGCCTATCCTAGATCATTTGTTGGGTTTCCTGCATCGCACGCTTTGGCCTCATTGAGGCCCGAGCATGAGGGGGTGCGATGGAAATTCCGCCATCGTTGTGGTCTTCCCCTAGTCGCCAAAATTGTAGCATTTGGCTTGATTTCATTGCCGCTTCCAACACCTTTATTGTGTTAGTCACCTAAATTGCAGCATTTGGCTTGCTTTCATTGTAGTCTCCAACACCTTTATTGTGTTGGGTTTAAAGGGGTGGGTTTAGTTCCACATTGCTTAGAGATATAGCTTGTGTTGTGTTTACAAGTGAGGGGAATCCTCACTTTACAAGTCGGTTTTATAAGGTTGAGTTAGACCCAACCGCACATTCTAAGATACTCAGATCCTTTGATTACACAACTTCATTTACTTGCTGATTGTTTGTTTTAAAGAGGGGATGTGAGGGTATAAATTTTAATGGAGGGGGAGAAGAGGGAACTAACAGGATAAAGCATTAACACTGTTTCCTAGGTTACATGCATGCTGTTCTCCTATCACAATTTTAGATGTCAGCAATGTATTCTTTTCTCAACTCTATGTCGTGACGTGACCACCATTCTAAAAGAATTCAAGTTAATGGGTTTCACACTGTCAAGCAATGACTTCTTGCCGGAGACATTGTCGATTAGTGGATTCATTCGGTGTTGGGATCTGAGACAGTGGATGGCAGAGGACATAGTGCTAAGGGCAATGGTGTATTTGTGACATGACTAACGTTTATTGGGGAGTCTCTATTTGGGACGTTGTTGGCAATGTCATTCATCAATTTGTGGATGGGGATCCAAGAGGGTTAACTATTGGAATGTTTTCTTTCTAGCATTCTTATTCACGCCATTATTGATGTTGATTCTGTCTTGGCGGTGTGGCTACTGCTGGTGTTGATATTGGGGGAATTGGTTATGAGATCGGTGGTAGTAGTGACTAGCAATTGTTGATTGAGAAGAAATGAAGGAGGCAATCGTAATAGCACCATTTGTGACAATGATCCTTTGACTCCCATTTATTATCTCAAGGTTCTTAGAGAATATGAATCTATTTTAAATTCTTCTCAGATTGTTCGGTAGGATTTCTTGTGTTTTTCAAATGAGACTGCCAATAGCAGCTAACTTGTAGAAGGCCTCTGTGACTTGGAAGTTGGAATAGTTGAATTTGAACAACCCAAGTGTTAAAAAAGTTTTTGTTAAAAGTAGGAATGCACAAAGGATGCGAGTGAACGGCAAACACCCATGAACCCTTCCTTGTTGGTACCGCAGAAAACCCCCTTTGGAAGAACATGTGCTGTAGAACTTTTTGAATTAATTTTAGGATATCTGACCTTAGACGAATAATACACATGTAAAACTGTGATAGGAGAATAGTAGGAATAGAAGGAAGGAAACTATATAAATTTAGTTAAACAATTGTCCCTTTCTATGCTTGTTACACTCTTCATGTGTGATCATGGTGCATATTTTTAAGTTATTTACTCTCCCTGGGGGAGGGCGTCCGGAATTTGGAGAAGGGTAGTTCTAGCTCCTTCTCTCAAATTCTAAATCAATCATGTAAGATTATGGTGCACATCTTAATTCATTTGGAGGGTGGGGTAAACTTTGGAGAAGGGGGATTCTACCACCTGTCTTCTCCAAATTCTAAATCTATCACATGCATAAAAATCAGTTTCTTCCTCTTTGTTCCCCTCCAACAAAATAGCTAGTTAAATAACTGTCCTTTTTTTAATGCTTGTTACACTCTTCATGTGTGATAAAACTAAGATCTGCGCGCTTTCTGTTTCAGCAACATAACACACCGCTCCTTGTTGAAATGGTGAGACAACAATTTAAGAAAAATATGCATGAGACAGATCCTGATAAGATTCAAAAGTTAAAGGATGAGTAAGTTTGTGCTCTAATATATTGCATTTATAGTGTGTATGTTTTCTAGATTCCTAGTCTGTTCCCATTTTTTCTATGGTTCTCTTTTCCCTTCAACAGATGCAATACAAATGCATTTCCGATGTCTCCATGCACAATAACAGGAAATCTATATTTAATTACTTAGGAATAGGTTGGTTACTCCAAGCAGAAAATGATAGTTTTCTTTTCCTTTCTATTGTTTTGCAGTGCTGCAAGGGGACTTATAAATCACATACTGTATGAGTCAGAGAAAATTACTGGTCGTAAATTTAGCAAGAGTCCCCCTAAAGAAGCTTAATTCGTTTAATCCCAGATAATTCAGTTTGTTCATCAGTGCTCTGGGTTTGGCAGATCAATCACATAGAAATTACCTTCCTAGATTATTATGATGGTTATATTAAACTGTTGAAATAAAAAAGTTGTTCGGAATTGCTTTCTCTAACTGCCACTCTTATTCATATCAATCTTTCAAGTTTGTTAAAACTATTTTATACTCAGTGTCTCAGTAACTCAACATTTGGAAAATAATTATTCCTAAACCGTGCCTTATTGTGGTTGATTCTTTTTGGCGTTTGTATCAGTCTAGAGCTAGTAAACCTGGGAATAGCAGGGATCAGTTTTATTGTTTTTAATTTGTTTTTTTATTTTTGTTTACACCGAGAAGCTTAATATATGAGACATAAATACGATTAAAGATATCATGGTTGAAGTTGAGGGCTGTATACTTTATCTTGGAAGTATGGACTTTGAAATACTTGTAAACTCTTTGGACGGTATTACAATGGAGTTCATCACATTTGGACTGCAAATTCGTTTAACCTCTCCACGGCTTCTAGTGATAATCCCATCCAGAATCTCTCCTTCATGTGCAAAGGAATCTGTTCTGCTCAACTCTCCATCCTACACAAACCAACAAATAAGAACAGCTTAAGATTTGGATTGGCCCCAAGTCCGCTTTGCTAGGAACAAGAGAAAAACAAGTTTAATTCACATCTCGTTCCCAAAATAGTTAGTTCAGGTTATTGATATCAGGGTCATTAATATTTTATGCAATTTCGTGATATGTTTATATATAGTTTGAACACCTTCGTCCATTTCTTTTCGGCCAAGAAACCCCTGATAGGTAGACAAATTAGGTGATGTTTGACGACTTACAGCAGATATGTTGAATGGTAATGCTGGAGCTTCTTCATATTCTGCAGCATCTAAATCTTGAAGGTGTGCCCCTTTGAAGAACTTGGGCAGAATGTACTGTCTTACAGGAACGAGGAGCATTATCATCAATGGGAAAAGAACACCGGCGATTGGAATCCAAGTGATACCATAACAAACAAGCAAGTATACAGTCTGGAACAATGTAAATGCTGCAATTATCTTGAAAGGTACAGTTTCTGCGTAAGTCGCATGGCTTTCCTCCAGAACTCTTTAAAATCAGTAAGATAACGAGTCAGTCAACAGATTTTCTGAAATTAAAAAAAAATGGAGAGATAGGAAATGGTGTGAAAGCCAGTACTTGTATCTTTTGCTCGAAGCAGTGAAAATGAATAACATTCGCTCCCAGAACTGGTTGCCAGGTAAGTTTTCAACGGCCATGAAAGCGAAATATCCCCACAGTACAGAAGTTGGAATCATTTTCAGGAAAGGCATAGCTGCTACACATCCTCCTACCATTAGAGATTGAAGCAAGTTGCTTACTCGTTGTTCTTTAACCTCAATTGGCAATAAATCATCAATTTCTTTCTCAACATCAAATATTGACTCATCGACCGCACTATTTATACTTCTCATGCTTGATGCAAGTTGAATTGTTGATTCTTTCAACTCTTTTAATCCCTGTCATAACAAAGTTAAGCGGCGTTGGATGATATATTACATGACGAAAGATTTGTGTATTTCCTAGATTTGCGACTGTCAAAACATAAAGCAGAACTTAGGAATCATATTCTGGGAAATTGTTATCAACTGATTTATGTTATATCAGTGAAGGGTGAGAAGAGAGCTGATCATACATACCATTGAGGAAGGTTCCTGGTGAGCTAGGGGAGTTTGCATCTGCCAGTAAGCACTTTGCATACTTCCATATACTTGTGCTAAGTTTTCTTGCTTTCTCATACATCTTCGAGCTGTTGCAACAAGTCGGCTTCTAAGTAACTGCAAATCACCAAAAATATAAGAATGTATTGTTTCACCATACAGGTAAATATTACGTTTCCACTTTCTCTTTTGAAGTTATAGGCCTACCAAAGTTTGAGGTAGTGGAAATGTATTAACAACATTTATCACAGACTAAGCTATAAAACCAGACAATCACCGACCCGTTTCTCATTAAGTAGGGTTAGTTATATGGATTACATTACGATTCAATGTTTCTATAAAAAAACTACATCTCTATTCAACTCGTTAATAACACTATTTGTTTTAATAGTTTCTTTCATAGTTTTTAATTTTATTTTTATTTTTTATGTTTAATTTGACTTTTTTCCATTTGATCTATTATCCTTATAACGAAATCTACATATATTCTTTTTATATGTTTAAATCACTTAAGTCTATTTTTTCACCATCTTTTTTACTATATATATTATTTCAACACTATAATATTTTTATTTTTAATCTTATCTTGTTTAGTTTTATAACAGATCCAATGCAACATCTTCATCTCTGCAACACTCATTTTATTCTCATGTTGGTTCTTAACTGCCTAACATTATGTCTCGTACAACATAACAAGTTTTATCCTTGTTCGATAAAATTTTTCTTTTATCTCGAACAATACTTGTGTCACATAAAATTATTGAGACTCCTCTATTTCAACCACCCAAAATGAACTTGATGATTTACATCTTCTATTTATTCCACTGCATTACTATTACTCCTCTTTTTCAATGTTTTTTACCTTTTGTTTTTAAATTCCACGATAATAATTATAGTTTCAATGCTCTTTAATGTCGATTTTGTTAGAGTACAGTGATATCATATCATTTATTAAATAAATTGTAGAATTTCATCTTCCATCTATCCTCCATATCTTTTTCATGAACCAAATATTTACCTTTTTCATCTTTAACACCTCTTTCATGAACCAAATATTTACCCTTTTCATCTTTAACACCTCTCTCTCTCTCTCACACAAATGTTATTGTTTCACTTGCTGCCTTCTTAGCCTCTTTTTTAATTTTCTTATTCTTATTCTTTTTTTCTCTCCCAAATTTTGGCATCTTTACACCTAGATCATTTTTTAAACCATTCTTTTTTTTACTCTAACTTTAACTCAATACTGTTGTTTCATAAGCATGATTCTTTACCGACTTTATTAGTCTCTTGTGCCATTTTGCCTTTAAGATCTTGTATTAGAAACTCCTTTGTTTTATAACCTTCAAATACTATCATTTGATCTATGGAGCTCCCATGTGATTTCTTTTGTTTGCTTTTTTTTTCTTGAACCTCATATCCATAACTAATACTCTATATTTATTTAATTTTATATTCCAAATAAATCTTTCTAACTCACTTTCTAATAAAAAAGAAATTTGTCTGAGAAAACATCAATACTCTTAAATGTGATAAAATACTCTTATCGTTTTTCAAAGCATGTGTTAGCTATAATAAGATTAAAAGCCAAAAAAAAAAAAAAAATCTAATAAGGGTTTAATCTCCACATTTACCCACCCGAAACCATACTTGCATGTATGTCCTTAAAGTCTCTTGCCACACTCCGGACATATACATTAAGATTCCCTTTAAAAAGTCTTCTCTTCTTATAGTATATCCCAAAATGAATCCTTGCTTATTTTCCACTATATCCATATGCGGCAATACAAAAACCCTTACTTATTTGACACTTTTTTCAAGCTATACACCACGTTGCTCAAGGGCAACAACTTAGAAATTCACATTATGTATTTGATTCATGATATAATAATTCGACGACAAAATATTAACTATATAAGGCAACCGTCTCCTTTTAACCACGTTTGAGACCAACTATGTAGCAAATCTAACATAAACGGATTTTAAGCTATAAAACAAGAAAACCTAAAATCACTTTAATATGTATACCTGGTGCTTCAATGTAGCTAAACTTTTGGTGTGCATTGGAGATTGTGGAATAACACCATTTGATGGGGGAATCCCAATTAGACCACATAATATAACCTGCCATACATTCAACATTTCATACATTTAAAAATTAAGGATCAAATTCAGTTAAAAAACATATCAAATAACCAAGAGAATTTTTCATAAACTAAAAAATCAAATAAGGCAAGGAAATATCATGCACCATAAATCCCAAAAGAAGTAAATCATAATGGAATGAAGGTGGCTTTCTTAAATTGAACTCTTTCTGCTGAGAAAGCTGAGATGCTATACTATGGTCAAAATAGTAAAGCACAGCAATCATTGTTGCTGGAATAAATGCTCCAATAATATAGAGAACTGGCACATTCAGCATTTCCTTTATCACAGTCCAGTTTTCATATGCACCATGGGACCATGGATTTGGACTCAAGAGTCTCCTAGGGATTCCTGTTGGAATATTTCCAGATGGTATATAAGAAACACCAGTCCATAACAGAACCATCAACGCGACACCGTAATCTGCTACGAGACCCCGTAAACATCCTGCAATAAGAAGAATCTAAATTCAGTTATTTTGAACCCCTCTAAAATTTCACAAAAGTCTCTCACCTGATCCATATCGCCAAGACCTTGCTTTCCGGCTTCTCAATGCTGTAAGCAAAAATCCAAAGGACAGAATCAAAGCAAACATGCCGTTTCCAAATCTCCATGAAGATTGAAATTCCATTGATGCCGGGTTTTCTCTCTCGGGTATACGAAACTCATGAATTAGTCCCTGTCAAACGCAATCAGCGAACATCTATATCAGATGTTATATCATAAATCATCTTAGTTTTCTCTTACAATTGTGTCTGGTGTCAGTGTCCGTGCTACATACTAGAGGACAGAAGATGTAGAAAGACATATCGTACTTTAATAGCCTCTTGCATGAAGAGCATTGCGATAAGAAGGCCAAAAAGTTCACCAGCGACCCGAGTGAACCTGTTGATGATGGAACAAGCCCCTAAGATAGCCAATAGAAACAATAAGACGGCTGTCCACATGCATACCCTGTCAATGACGAAGACTTTCAGAAGAACCCGAGTTCAATCATTACTAACTAGACTTTACTTATCGTCTAGCCGAAACTACCGATTACTAGAGCCTCATTCTCCGAGAATTTAAGGGTTAAGATGAAAAAATAATTTATATATCTGAATTGAGAAAACGATACCATCCAGTCCAGGCTAGGAAGAGCTTCGAACCCAAATCCGGCCTATTTTTGGCGAATTTGAACATGAATGTATACATAATTATAGTTGGTTCCGCTACTCCAAGAATTAGCAAAGGCTGGCCTCCAATGATAGAGTGAATAACTCCACACATTGCAGTTGATGCTAATGTTTGCACAGAAGTGAGTATCCCATCTAGAAAAACGTTCAAACACCGAAAATCAAATTGCAGATATACTAAAAAGATTTCATGCATGAACGAAATTTATAATGTACCTGTATCTCTTTCCAATTGTTCTCCGAATGAAATAACTGGAATCGCTGATGCGAAAAATATATATGTGGTAGGGGCTAGTATCCTAAGAAATGACAATTTCGATACCAAGTTAACATTAGGATCGAAATAACAAGTATGAAGCTACTAGAAACTTCTTAAATTTATAGAAATAAGTGCTTTTGTAGTATAACTGTTTGAGAAATATGTACCTGAAACCTGCACTGAGACCACCAATCCAGTCATGCTTGTAACATTTCAGTCTCTTCTGAAGATCGTTTTTAATTCCGCGGAATGGAACAAATGTCTCTTCCATAATTTCTCAACCAGAAGTTATTGACAAAAAGATTATATATAGTTCAAGTAATGCATCATAGGGTATATTTGTTGGAGAAAAATGCAGTATGGTTTTGATGAAACTAAGTGTTGAATTTCAAGCCATATATATACTAGAAGAAAATGAGATGTGTAATCTCTAACCAGAATATAATCAGAATATAGTAGTTTAGAATTATTTCTATAATAAGGTCACAAAAATGCGTTTTTGACAATATTAATTATCATTGAATGTATTAGTATATGTTTGATTTCATGTTTGGAGTCGCCAGAATTGTCAAAAGTTTTAACACTGTTTATGCATCAAGTTCTTTCAATGCAAATGGGAATAATCACAATCACAATTTGTAAAATAAGTAGGAAAATGTCTTGAATGTACCATTGGGTATAGTAGTTCACAAGTAGAAAGATTTCATATCAGAAAGATTTCATAGATCATATATAGAAATATATTCTTAAAATGGAGTATTTAACATTATAACCAGAATTGGAATATAAGTTTGTCTCGTCTTTCATATCTAGTTGCAATTCAATTGCAAACATAGAACAAGATATTGTAGGGGGTAATGGATGACACATTGGGGACAAAGTATACTATACTTTTAGTTTGGAGTCATTCATATCTAGTTGCACATCACAGCTGAATAAGTTACAAAACTAAGAGGATAGTTTGGAGTCATTCATACCAAGTGAATCTTATTGTTCAATCTTTAGCTATAGTAGAGCATCAATACTTTATGCTAATTACTATATGTTTTTTTTCCCATCATATTACATATCTTATCGTTTTGATTTTGATTGTTTGCATTTTTATGATAGCAAATTAATATCTTTTAAATAAATTTTCTATTTTAATTTTGTGAAAAAAATAGAAAGATGCATTTTCTTTTACAAATAACAAATCAGTCAACTTGTTCTTTCATAAATGGTAATTAGTACCATTGAATCTTGTACCAGTTAAAAAATATAATACGTGAAAACATTTAATGATCATGGATTGTTAGAAATTTGAAAGTTTGAGAGCTAGAGAATAAGAAGTTTTCTATATGTAGTTTTCTCTATAAGAGTCAAATTCTCCGTCCGAACTCCATCGAAACACCATTTTTTCACTGATCAGCTGTCGTATACGTATCAAAACGAATAAAAAAAGTGTAGTTTAGCGACAATGACCCGAGTCGTATCACAAAGACTCTTTTTAAGATGATATCTAATAAAGTAGGGGCATGATCTGAATGTTAAAATTGATGGCTGTGCGGCGCCTTAGACCACTCGGCCAAACCGTCATTGTGTTAGATTTTGTTCATTATTAGAAGTAGTACTGATTGAATTTTAGTTTATAATTTCAATTATTTCTTTTCTGTTCTTCATAAATGATAATGTATTACTATTCTTTATCCTTAATGTGGGTACATAACATTATTTGTTAATCATTATCATAATAATTAAATGGACCACTAGATAAAGAAGTCTATGTAGTTCAACCGTCTAGATTTGAGCTCAAATGTGCAGAAGGAAAAATGCTATGGTTGATAAAGGCCTTATATAGTTTGAAACAAACATCAAAAGCCTAGAATAAATGGATTGATAATTTCCTTATCAAACTAGGGCTCAAAAGTATTAATCATGACAAGGGATACATGTTAAGCATGCAAATAACAAGTAACCACTGATTATAGATTTGTACGTTGACGATCTTTTTGTCACAAGGTCAACTAACTTAAAAATAAAGAAATTCAAGACATTTATGATGAGTGAATTTTAATTCTATTAATTTGGAAATATATCCTAGTTTTTTGAGAATGGATTTCAAGAACACTAGAAAATGAGTTTTCTTGTACCAGAAGAGATATGCAAAAGATGTGTTAAAGAAACTCAATATGGAAACTTACAATGCATATATGACACATATTAAAATGGTATATCAACTAATAAAGAAAGTAAATAAGGATTTGTTTAATGCCAAACTTTTCAACCAAATCATAGGATCACTTAGATACATTTGCAATACTATACCTCACATATGCCAAAAAGTTGGACTAGCGAGCATATTCAATGAACAACCAAAGAATCATACCAAAAAGTTCCTAAAATAATTATAAGGCATGTGAAAGGCACCATTTATTACCCTAAGTGACTTTAAACACAAGAAGAAGTGAATTATGATTTTTTTTTTGAAAACTTATAGATTTTTCGTTGATTTTAAGAAAGGATTAGAAGAAGAAAAATATAATTGATAAACAAATAACATAAAAAGATAAGATAAGGATAATGAAGGAACACACCAAAGATTATACTATTTCAAATCAAACCCACAAGACCTACTCTAGTCTCCAAGGATCACACCTTGAGATTTCTGCAACCTCAGACCTTTTTACACAGGTTTATCCCTCAACCTACTTAAACCAAGCTTTTATCCCAATTTAACATGCAACTTTTATAATATATCAAAATTCGATAAAACAATACTGTATTGTTTTGTAATTACAAATAAGAAGTAGTGGTTACATAAGAAAAACTATATTAAGTGCTTGCTCTCTTAGCACTTAAATTGTTTAAAGTTAATGTACAAATTCTAAGAGAAATGGTTAGAGTATGAGAGAGGTAATATTCAAAAGTCTTGCGTCTTTTCAAATGAATGCAAGTCCTTTTTATAAATTTCCATATTTAGTCAAGAAAGGAAATGTTTTTAGAGTCGTATCTGCATTATAGTTGATTATGCCATGATAATAATCAATTATGATATAGAAAGATAGAAAAGTTTTGTTGAATCAAAAGCATAATAGATTACAAGACTTCCTTAATCGATTATTGAGAAAACTCGCCCCATAATTGATTACATAAATTCCATAATTGGTTATAGGGGGAATAATATACTATTAAAGGGAGTATACTCTGTATATCATTTAAGAGGAGTTAACACTCCAAACTTTCTTTTTCATCTTATATAGTGAAATTCAACCTATAATTGATCTAGTACAATATTTAATAAATTCATGATTGGTTCATTCCGAGGCGCCTTAGACCACTCGGCCAAACCGTCATTGTGTTAGATTTTGTTCATTATTAGAAGTAGTACTAATTGAATTTTAGTTTATAATTTCAATTATTTCTTTTCTATTATTCATGAATGATAATGTATTACTATTCTTTATCCTTAATGTGGGTACATAACATTATTTGTTAATCATTATCATAATAATTAAATGGACCACTAGATGAAGAAGTCTATGTAGTTCAACCGTCTAGATTTGAGCTCAAATGTCCAGAAGGAAAAATGCTATGGTTGATAAAGGCCTTATATAGTTTGAAACAAACATCAAAAGCCTAGAATAAATGGATTGATAATTTCCTTATCAAACTAGGGCTCAAAATTATCAATCATAACATGGGATACATGTTAAGCATGCAAATAACAAGTAACCACTGATTATAGATTTGTATGTTGACGATCTTTTTGTCACAAGGTCAACTAACTTAGAAATAAAGAAATTCAAGACATTTATGATGAGTGAACTTTAATTCTATTAATTTGGAAATATGTCCTAGTTTTTTGAGAATGGAGTTCAAGAACACTAGAAAATGAGTTTTCTTGTACCAGAAGAGATATGCAAAAGATGTGTTTAAGAAACTCAATATGGAAACTTACAACGCATATATGACACCTATTAAAATGGTATATCTGAAGGTGAGAAAATACTTAGAATGGGGGTTGAATAAGTATGAAGATAAAAACTTAGAAGTAAAAACTCATGTATTTTTATCCTGGTTCGTTGAACTCAACTACTCCAGTCCACCATATTCAAAGTGATTTGCCTTTCTCAAACAAGGACTTAATCCACTATTTAATCAACTGATTACAATAGTAAGCACTAAGAACAACAGTTCAAAGTCTTTTCAAGAACTACTGATCCCAACTGGATCTTCTTAAGGAACTATTACAATAAAATGTAAGATTAATACAAGTGTATGAATGCTTCTAACAAGCTTTATCACAACAGTGATTTTTCACTTAATGTTAAGAACAAAAGAATAAACTCAGCAATAAGAATATTTTATGAGAGCATGTAAGAGTTTCTTTTTGGAGATTCGTTTGTAGTAGATCACTCCTGAAGAAGATGATGAAGACTTGCTTTTATATGCACAGTAGTCCACAAAGTCTTGACATTGGAGGCTGTGTACTGAAAAGGCCTGAACCTTTTTGTCTTTACATCACATGACCTTTCCTGGAAGTAGAATGCACAGAGAAATGCTTTTGGTCTGTGTTCTAGTGTCAAGCATGAAAGAGGAAAGAGTCGTTGAGCCAAATCAAAGGATATTACTTTGAATTCTTCTTCAACAAGTATTTCTTTTCAGCAGAGTTAACCATCAGATTTTGCATGATCAGAGTCTTGGATTCCCATCAGATTTTGCTGAATCAGAGTAAGGCAACAAGTGTGCTTTAGCGTGTAGTTCTTTCAGAGCAGAGTTTTATGAATCAGATCCTCAGTACATGCAGCGTGTAGTACTCTCAGAGTCGTCTGAAAAACTGAGCTTCTTAACTCTCATACAAAGTTCTTTAATGCTTCAGAGTCTTCAGATCTTATTAGAGTCTTCTGCTTCAGATCCTTCTGCAGCTTCTGCTTCAGATTCTTCTGTAGCTTCTGCTTCAGATCCTTCTGTAGCTTCTGCTTCAGATTCTTCTGCAGACAGCGCTCAGATTCTTCTATAAGATGATTCTGATTCTTCAGAGCCTTCCATAGTTCTATGTTCAGATTAATTTGCTCTTGGATGTATATATACTTTAATTATCTGCAGCAAATATTCATGAACCAATTTTAGAGTATATAATTCTTTAATACAAAATTTCATAAGAGTTATCATCAAAACATAGAGATATTACTAAGAAATAATATGTGTTCTTACAATCTCCCCCTTTTTGATGATGACAAAACATGAGAAATTTTGTTCAATAATAAAAAAAAATAATTATAACTCCCCCTG